TCGACGTGGAGATTGTTGACAGTTGAGGAATAGAGGTGTCTGTAATTATTTGTTTTAATTTAGTGATACAAAGTGGTCACACAGAGCAGCTCTTGTGAACCTGCATGTAAAAAACACACAGACTTTCAATCACTGTACAAAAAAACCCAGAAGAATAAATAGATAAAACAAAGCAGAACCTTTCCTCTGTCTACATAAAAGGCTTAAACTCACCAAGCACATTTTTTACCAGGTCTGTTTACATAAAAGTACTGTTCCTCTGGTGTCGACACACAATAATGTGACCCGACAGTATCTGCATCACATCGTGATTCTAAGCCCCATGGATTTATTCCTTGGGATACATTCATTTTTATAATCCAATTAGTTTTGACTCCAAGATAAGTGTTTTTTCCCTAATACAAATATGATTTATCCTGTTTGTGGGGATTATATCAGACTCCAAATATTTGTCCTACAAAGACCATGCCAAGCTAAAACAGAGTCAGAATATTTTATCAGTTAATTTTCTTTCAGGGAAAACAAAACGCTGAAGCGTGACTAAGCTGCGTTTGTAATACCACTCCTCCATATGCTATAGATAAGGGCTAGTGATCATAGTACATATTCTGCAAGCATGCATACTGGACTAAATCCCCGGGATTCTCCACCACCACCCACATGCACCCACACACATTTCCAGAATCCAATTAATTAGCGTGGATGAGTGATGTGTCCTTGGCACGGCTCTACGACCGTCCACCTCTTAGCCTCTGTTTCCCTCTCTCTCATGGGTTGACTATCGGGTTGCTTAGTTTAGCTCAAACATGTCAGTGCGCATTCTGACCTGTCTGCACTGCGGGGCGCCATGACAGAATGAATGATTTTCTTTAAAGTAGCAGCATGCAGTGGTTTCTAATGAATGCATAATACTCGCTTTTGTTTTCATTTTACCCAGTCCTGCAAGTAACTGGGACATTTACCAGGAGACAGTAGAACAAACTGGTAGAAGTTACACAAGTTACTGGATGCAGACCCTGTTTGTCATCATTATTTAAAATTGTACTTCCTCACACAAAGAGAAATTAGAGAGAAAATGGAAAATGAAAATGTGCCCATTTATAACTCACTGCTCGCATTTGTTAATGAACAGTAACCAAAAGATGGTGATTTTATTCCTTGGAGTTGTTCAATCACATTAGTTATGAGAAGGCAACTTTCACACAAACAGAAAATGATTTAAAAATGACAAGGTGTACCTATGGTTTAATCAGACAAGCAACAGACTGGGATGTAAACCAAACAGGCAGGTCCAGTAGGTCTGACAGGTGGACAGAGGAAATCATAACTGGAGGGTTTTACAGCCACATGTAGATCTGGTGATGTTTGGCTCATTTCAACAGCTAGTAATGCTCCATGGGAATCTCTTGATTGTTCAGGATGGTGTGAGTGTGTGGGTGTGTGCGTCAGTGTTTGTGTTTGAGTGTGACCTGCCTCTCATTCTAACTGCTGAACACTGCAGATGAAGGAAAAGAGGAGTGGAGGAGGGCTTAAGGGATATGTGGTGTGTGTGTGTGTGCGTGTGTGTGTTTGCCCCACCATGCATTGACTTACCCCTTTTAGCTGATCCATAAGGTGCAGTGTGTTCAAGCCACTTTATTTTCAGCCTGTTTTACTCCTTCTCTCTCTCTCTGTTTAATTGTTTTTCGTCTTAAAGGAAAGCGTTTTCATCTTGGAGGGAAAAAAAATCAAACGTCACGCACACATGCGCATATAGAGTGCCACAATGACGCATCGTTTGTTTTATATGGATTTTTTTGAGAGCGAGAAAAAAAAGGAGAGAAAGAGAGCGAGGGGGAGAGAGAGTGGGGTGAGAGAGAAGGGGAGAGAGAGACTTTCCTATAGAGGATAATTATTTTTACCGCATTCAACAGTGTTTTCAGTCCAGGGACGAGAGTGGGACAGAAAATGCTGAAACTACTGCCGTCTACTCTACACATAACATTCAAGTTTTTCTACGGGAACTATTGAGGATATTCATCTTCCCAAAGATGCCCACTTTGAGACTTTTTCTCTAACGATGCCAGACTGAAAGCAAGACTTTAGGAGATGACTCGATTTCCCCCCCGCTAAAAAAAAGGAATATACCCTGTGGTGAGGGAGCCATAAAGTTTGATTAAAGAAAGAAAGAAAGAAAGAAAGAAAAAAAATCGGCCCATATATGTGAATTGATTTTTCCTCCGCTCTCTCTCTCTTTTTAACATTCCCTCGGTCAGTCGACGGATTTTTGCCATTACAGCTCAGTAGAGGGTGTCAGATCTTCCTCGGAGCACGGAGCAAGGATGAACACAATCTCTGTGTTCCTTTTCTTGTGATTCCCAAATCGTCACCTTAAAAAGAAAAGAGGTGTCGGTGCGTGGTGGTTTTTGTGCCAAGGGGCTAGAAAGAGAGAAGCGGCGCAAAGGAAAGACACGCGAACCCTGAAGAATGTGGGAAGGGGGATGCGGGTGATTTTGCAGCGGTGGGATCGCCGCCGTAGCTCCAGCGCAGGGTGTGCATTCAGCACCACGGGAGAGGGAACAGCTCCCTGCGCCGCAGCACCACTGGAGTGGAGAGAGAGAGAGGCAGAAAAGAGAGACAGACAGGGCGAAGAAAAGACAAGGTTTTGTTCGTTTTCATCCTGCCAAGGTCAGTCTGAAAGCAACTGAAAAAGTCTAAACATGTGCCGGACTCCGCAGACGCTCGCTGGTATTGATTTTCATTATAAACACTCGAAAGATCTGAAGAATCGGTCGATGTGAAAGAGACGTTTATGTTTTCAAACTGGAAGTCTGGACACGATCGCGTTAGACGCAGCATGGATCTGTAATGATATTTGTCGGGGGAAAAAAGACTGCATCATCTCCTCCCGAAATGTCTACATCTTTGTCCTTTTTTCTCTCTCACTCCGTTGATGTAGACTAAAATCACAGCTCGTATGTCTTGAAATTGGGAATGACTTGCTCACGTTGAAAAGAAAATGCTGCTTTGGATTATTCTGCTGAATGCGGGTCTTTGTGTCGCCAGTGGAAATGTTACAAGGGACGTTTGTAAGGAGCAGATATGCTCCTGCAACGAGATAGAGGGAGATGTGCACATAGACTGCGAAAAAAGGAGCTTCACCACTCTGCAGCATTTAACTGGCCCCAGCTCACATTTCTACCACTTGCTGCTGCATGGGAATTCTCTGTCCAGGTTATTTCCCAACGAGTTTGCCAACTTTTACAACGCTGTGAGCCTGCATTTAGAAAACAACGGCTTGCACGACATCGTCCCCGGCGCATTTTTGGGGCTGCAGCTGGTGAAGAGACTGCACATCAACAACAATAAGATTAGATCGTTCAGAAAGAGTACATTTCTGGGCTTAGACGACTTGGAATATCTCCAAGCTGATTTTAATCTACTGAGAGATATTGACCCCGCCGTTTTCAGGGACCTTAATAAACTTGAAGTGTTAATACTTAACGACAACCTCATTAGTGCGATACCACTGAACGTGTTTCAACATGTGCCCATCACACATCTCGACCTGCGGGGAAACCGAATTAAAACGTTGCCTTATGAGGGGATTCTCGAACAGATACCGGGCATTGCGGAGGTTTTATTGGAGGACAACCCGTGGGACTGCAACTGTGACTTGATTTCTCTAAAAGAATGGCTAGAGAACATACCGCATAATGCACTTATTGGGAGGGTAATATGCGAGGCTCCCACCAGGCTGCAAGGGAGCGACTTAAACGAGACGTCAGAGGAAGATCTGTGTCCTTCACAAAGTGGTGGAGTGGACATCAGCCTGGTAGCCCCTCCCACACAGGAGGAGACCTCAGCTCCTGTGGCCCGCGGCTCACGTCCCACGCCAGACAAGCCCAGCGGAGACAGCGGAGCCCCAACACCTGGCGGCCACGGATCCAAGAGCCGCTCCAAATCTCGGGAGAACTGGCAACTGAAAACTAAGCCCACTCCAGTGTCGACAGGTGAGAACGGGGAGAGGGAGCAGCTTCACAACATGACGTGCCCTCAGCCATGCAACTGCAAGCTGGTGGGCTCAAGAAGAGGGCTGGGGGTCAACTGTGAGGGGAAGAAAATTGAGAGTCTGTCCAACCTAAAGCCCAAACCCCTGTCTGCCCACGAGCTGAACATGAGAGATAATAACATACACGCAGTGAAGAAGAACCAGCTGCTTGGCTACTCCAGCCTCAATTTACTTGATCTGGGGGGGAACAACATCAAAGTGATAGACAATGGCACCTTCCAGAACCAGAGTGAGCTGAGATGGCTGTACATGGATAAGAACTATTTGGATACACTGGTTGCAGAGATGTTTGTGGGCCTTGTAAATCTGGAATATCTCAGTTTGGAATATAACGACATTCAGCTCATAGTGGCCGGCGTGTTCAGCCCCATGCCAAATCTGAGGGTGCTGTTCCTCAACAATAACTTGCTCAAATCTTTACCCGTGGACGCTTTTCTTGGGATTTCTTTGTCCAAAATCAGCCTACACAACAACTACTTCCCCTATCTCCCTGTGGCTGGCGTACTGGACCAGCTCAATTCAATCATACAGATCGATTTGCACGGGAATCCTTGGGATTGCTCATGCAACATTGTGCCCTTCAAACAGTGGACAGAGAAGTTAGGGGCCGACGTCATTGTGAGCGACCTAAAGTGTGAATCCCCCGAAGCATTCTGGAAACGAGACTTCCGCTACGTGCGGAATGACCTCATGTGTCCCAAACTTTATGACAGAACCCCTCCTACTTCCTTGTCCAAAAACAGCACCTATGCCCAGGACTCTGGGACTCGCCCGAATTCTTATTTGGAGCCCAACAGGGTCTCTATCTCAGTGCTGGTCCCCGGGCTACTGCTGGTGTTCGTCACGTCCGCTTTTACCGTGGTGGGAATGCTTGTCTTTATTTTGAGAAACCGAAAGAGGTCAAAGCGGAGGGATGGGAACTCCTCGGCCTCAGAGATCAATTCTCTGCAAACTGTTTGTGATTCGTCTTACTGGCACAGCGGGCCCTACCACACAGACGCAGGCGCTCAACGGGGCTTCGACTGCAGCACGCACCTCTCCTCAGCAAATGATGCGTAAAAGTGTGTGTGTGTGTGGAGGGGGGGGGGGGGTTTGGGTTACAAACAGCGCGAC